GGAGATGCCATGGATGGGGAAGGGTTGCATGTGCAGCTGTCATCGAGAAAGATGGGAGACGGGCAGACCGCCAGACCTGGGTTCAGGCAGACTCTCAGCGTCAGCATCGCCAGACACTCTGTTAGGCAATGCAGACTCCTGGCTCCACCTCTGGGATCAAAGGGTCTTGATTTTTAAGGGTCCAGATGGCGTGAAGGTTAATATGCTGGAAACCACAGAACCAGCCGAGGGGTCAGAGTCCCCAACATGGCGGCTTCAAAATCATGCCAGGCACATGTGTATGTGTGCCCAAAATCCCTAGACAAGAACGGAGAAGGGGTTACATCATGGCTACCCCCCCGGGGGGTGCTTTCTTACTGTCTCTCTCTCCCTGTCTGTGTCTCTCCTTTGACTATGTGCATCCTACAGCAAACATTAAAAAAAAAAAAAAAAAAAAAAAAAAACAAGGAGTCTTGATTTTAAAAAGCCCTGCAGATTTTTAAAGTTTTTTTTTTTCCACAGTGTATGTATGCTCACCAGAGGACGGTGAGAGGGAAAGTGAGACGTCACCCCTAGGGAATGGCTACACTGCAGTCCCTTCACCACCACTGTCATGGGATTTGGGGCATGCACATACAAGTGCCAGGATGATTTACAAGCTGCCAGGTCCAGGACTCAAACTGTGGTCAGCCATGTGGAAGTCCAACACTTTAACCACTACCTGCTGGTCCCTGTAAATACTTTCAAACCAGTGACTATCAAAATTCAGGAAGCCTTAGGATCTGCAAAGCTTGAACCAGCAGATGGCGTAGTGATTAAGGCATTGGACTCCCACATGGCCACCCATGGTTTGAGTCCCAGACTTGGAAGTTTGAAACTCAGGCTGGGTGTGCGTGCATATGTGTCCAAAATCCTGAGAGGAGAATGGAGGAGACGGATTGCAGTGTGGCCATCCCCTCAGGAGGGGAGTTCTTGCTTTCTGTCTTTTTCTGTCTCTCTGGCACGTGCACATGCCCTATAGCAAAAATCTCTCTTTTAAAAAAAAGTACTTAAGAGACCAGCAGTTGGCATAGTGGCTATGTCGCTGGCCTCCCATGTAGTTGACTGCAGTTCGAGTCCCAGGCCCAGTGGCTTAAACTCATACCGGGCACATGTGCGTGCATGCCCAAGATCCCGAGAGGAGAATGGAGGAGGAGGGACTGTAGTGTGGCCATCTCCCCTGGGGGGTGATTTCTTGCTTTCTGCCTCTGTCTCTCTCTGTCTTTCTGGTGAGCACATGAGCCCTATAGCAAAAACCTCTCTAAAAAAAATACTCAGCCTACATATACGAGAGAATATCTAGATGGCCTCACAGGAGTCTCTGAGTCCATGGAGTCAGGGACTCGGCACAGCCCAGTGGAAAAGAGAGCTGACTGACGTGGTGGTCGGGCTTCGTGGGGCCGTCTCGCCCGTCAAGGAAGGGAGCTGAGGGCCGGAGGGGGCCATTCTAACACGGCCCCAGGGCCTTTCTGTCAAGCAGTTTGCAGGAAGCTGGTGGCTAAAGGACGATGGGCCAGTGGAGATATTTTTAGACGCCAACCACTCCAAATACATGCATTTTTGCGCTCTCCAAGGGTCTCACTTAGGTGGACACCTGCTGACCCACCCCTGCCCTGCACAGCAGGGCACCCTAGACTCTGCCTCGGG